CTGATTGGTGCTGGCAAGCTGACTTGCACTCTGCTAAACATGATTAATTGCTTATGTCCATTGCTAGGTGAAATTTCAATTTTTAATAGAGAAATCAGTGATGTAGAGCCAGTCCATGAACTGTATCAGGATGTAGCCGTTTGGTTTAGTCCAGTTCAAAAGTTCAGTTCAGTTCAAAAGTTCAGTTTCACATGGAGTGCGAATGTTAGTCCAGCTTCCTGGACGCCTCCTGGCTCCATTTTAGTATTTCTCTCTGGATAATATCGACTCCATTTTGCTGTTTTTTGGGGTTTTTTTTTGTTTTTTTTTTACATAATAAATAAGATGTTTCTAATGAGTAAATGACTGAATGATGTAAGGAAGGGTAATTATTTAATGACGGTGATTGCTATTCACTATGAAGATCAGTCAGTCAATTAATATTTATTGTTTATTGCACACATAATGTGCTATTTTGTACTTGGAGCTGAATTCCAAGAAATTATAGTAGAAAAAAAGTGGATTTGTAAATCAGCTGGAGGTTTCATCCAATGTAAACATAAAGATTTGAAGATTTGGGACCCTTTGAAGCCTTTTTAAGATGTTTTTGAATCATCCAGCTAGTGCTAACTAAAGGCTACATGGTCCCAGGGCTGCTGATAAGGATTAAGCAGAGTTGGGCAGATCAAGTAAGTGTTAGTTTGGTCACTGGTTAGTCCAGTAGTTTGCCATGGTCAAGTGGTCCCACATAAGGTCAGCATGTGGTGTCAAAGGTTAATGAGACAGCGCATCTGCAGCCCATCAGTGTATCAACCTCTGGGGTCAACTCTGCCTGAAGCTTCTGCTGACTTTTAATCTGGTAATTTAGACAAAAAATTGACCCTTCAAACCTTTCCATTTCCTCTGGATTTAATACAACCACCTGGATCTCTATAGTGAGGTCCTTCATGATCAATAGTTCCTGAAAATATAGACTGGGAATCTAAATGCTCAAGGGGTCCTGGGTCTTCTCAAAGCCAATGTTATCCTCCAGGGGTGAGCAATGGCCTTAATCAAGGGGACTCATCTCATCTCTGATTGCTAGGATGAATGGTTTCCACCATTCTGATGGCCTTATGAACTGACTTGTCTAAGACAGTAAGCCCTTATTCATGTGCCATTTCATGTGGTTATCAAGCCCCAAATAGTGTTTCAGGGGTAAAGTCTGGCTGTACCCCCAGACTAAATGGCATCCTGTCTTGTCTTTAATTTGTGGCAGCTCTCATAACAAGTGTAGAAAGAAGCGTTTCTTCAAGAAGGTAGATGGTCTTTAAAGCATGCAAAAGATTGGAAATAAATACTCTTTTAAAAAAATTTCTCTTTGATCAGGAGCTTAAAGTTAGCTGACTACTAGAATCAGTCACTCTTATAAAGAATACATAGGAATGCTTGATTCATTTCCTGTCTTTTATTAATCCATGTTTCATGAACAGCCTAACACCTAGATAATAAATTCAGTTATTTTTAGCTCTAAAAGATACACACACACACACGCACGCACGCATGCACACACACACACATATTTATTTGTTGCAATGTGTTCCTCAACGTGTATTGTGGTTAAGATTTTTTATTATTATTAGCATTCTATTTGGTGTGAGAACCTTGAACTATGGCATCATAACATTTCACTTATTTTACGGAAAATTTCACTTTAATGGAAAATCAAAGGTCCTGGAAATCACCAATCATTTCTGTTTCCATGCAGAGAATTTTTCTATACAAGTCCACTAGCACCATCACTAACAAAAACATCTAGTTTAAGGTATGCTGGTGATAATTATGTTACCCAAATTTGACAAAAAGGGAAAATTAATCAAAATAAATATAATTTTCTCTTCCAGCAAGGTCGATAATCTCATACATGTCTATGGACATACTGTAGCTTAATTCTAGGAAACTTCGGTTTGTCACACTGACAAACTTATTTTAAAAAAGAAAACATGTATATATCAAAGATACAAATCTCAAGAGGACCTTATGTAAGACCAATTCATTAGAGGAAGACAGGATTTGAAGGATAAAAATTTTGTAATTTCAAATTGTTCCCTCTGATTTTATTTGAGAACTTCCTGGAAATCACGTAGACATGAGAAAAACACCAATAGGCCTTGGTAGGCAAGAAAGTAAGTTATTTTCCTCACAGTTATGACAAAGAAAACCCTAACCAATTTAAGAAAGCGGAAAATAATTAATTGTTGCATATCCTCATTTCTTCTTTTACTGATCATTTAAAAACCAAGGAATGCAAAGCTCTGTCCACCCTTATGATTAAAAGGAGATTGAGAGGATACAATAAAAAAATGAAACTGAACTGTTGTCTCTTACCACACCCCAAAAATAACTCCAAATTGATTAAGAACCTGAATATGATGCCTGAAACGATAAAATGCATAGAAGAAAACATAGGAACTAAACTCAAAGACCTTAGACTCAAAGAGGATTTTATGAATTTGACCTCAAAAGCAAGGAAAGTAAAAACTAATATAAATGAATGGAACTACATCAAACTAAAAAGCTTCTGCTCAGCAAAAGAAATCGTCAACAAGGTAAAGAGACAACCATCTGAATGGGAAAATATATTTGCAAGCAACACCTTTGATAAGGGCCTAATATCCAAAATATACAAAGAACTCATACAACTCAATAACAACAAAAAGACAAATGATCCAATCAAACAATGGGCAGAGGATCTGAACAGACACTTCTCCACAGAGGACATACAAATGACCAACAAATATTTGAAAAGACATTCAACATCGCTAGCTATTAGGAAAATGCAAATCAAAGCTACAATGAGATACCATCTCACTTGTTAGAATAGCTATAATCAACAGGACAAGTAATAACAAATGTTGGAGAGGATGTGGAGAAAAAGAAACCCTCATACACTGCTGGTGGGACTGCAAATTGGTACAGCCACTATGGAAAACAGTATGGAAGTTCCTCAAAAAACTAAGAATCGGTCTACCATATGATCCAGCAACCCCTCTACTGGGTATTTACCCCAAAGACTTGAAAACCCATATCTGAAAAGATATTTACACACCGATGTTCATAGCAGCACTGTTCATAGTGGCCAAGAAATGGAAGCAACCGAAGTGTCCTATGATAGATGATTGGTGAAAGAAGCTGTGGTACATATACACAATGGAATGTTACTCAGTCATAAGAAGAGATGAAATACTGCCATTTGTGACAACATGGATGGACCTCAAGATAATCATGCTAAACAAAATGAGCCAGACAGGAAAAGTTGAAAACCACATGATATCACTTATATGTGGGATATAAACCTAAAAGCAACAAAGGAACAGGACAAACAGAGACTCATGGACATGAACTATAGACTAGTGGTTACCAGAGGGTAGGGGGTGAAGGAGGAGAGGGGAGGTAAGTGGGGTTAAGGGAGTCAAATATAGGTGGGTAGGGGGAGGGCGAAGTGGGTAAAGGAGATCAAATATGTGGTAGTTGAAGGAAACTGGACTTTGGGTGGTAAACACACAATAGAATATACAGATGTCAAATTATAATATACACCTGAAAATTATATAATTGTATTAACCAATGTTACCCCAATAAACAAAAAAAACTCCATATCTTTTAGCTCTCAATTTTGTAAGTTAATTCAAATAGGATAAAAAATTCAAGTGGCTTTCTGAACTATGGACTTCACTCAGTGCAATTACATAGTTCTGTAAACTCTACTGATTGCTGGAGAGAATATTAAATAGTGTTGAGAGTACTCTGGACTCTCAGACTATTTGGGTTTGAATCCCACCTCCTGTGCTTGCTGTGTGACGTTGAACAACTAACTTAACCTCTCTGAGTCTTAACTACCTTATCTGTAAAGTAAGGATTAAAACAGTAATTACCTCAAGGATTGTTATGAGTATTAAACAAGTCAGTATGCATAAGGCACTAAGAACAGTACTATTGTATAGTGAATACTGTATTATTATATACCAATACTAACGCTGAATTTCACTGAATCTGTCAAAAACTGCTATACCTGTGCCTATGTAAAACACTGGAAAATGAAAACGTTTATCAATAATTACTTTGTTTAAAGATGGTCACCGATACCCTGAAGTATAAAATTTGGCGAAATTTATCAGTTTTTTCAAAATCATTGTGGAATAAACATATAAACAGAATAAGACATTAACTATAAAATGTTGAATTTAAATAGAAATTTCATTCACATTATCAAAATGGTTAAAATTTTAAAAAAGGAAGATACAGAGTCAGGAAATAGAGACTCCATATCAGGAATGAAGGTTAGGAGGACATTTCCAAGATGGCAGTGAGGGAGACCCCAAGACAGTTGAAGGCAGTGCCTCTCAAACTTTGTCGTGCATAGGAACCACCTGGGATTTTTTAAAGCTCATTCTGATTCAGTAAATCTGGGTAGGGCCTGAGAGTCGGAATTTTTAACAAGCTCTCCACACGGTGCTGATGCTGCTGGTTCAGGGGCTACACTTTGCATAGCTGGCTGTAGAGAACAAACAGTCCAAATTGTAACAAGAGGGCAGCAGAGAGAAAGAATGAGAGAAATTCACTTGCTTCTAGAGATAACTGAATTAGTGTTAGGCAACAATAGTATAATATAGGAGGGAGAGGATAAAAGAGAGAAAAAGATTAATCTTTTAAATAAATACAAATCAAGGGAAAACACAGGCTGAAGCGAGGGCAGTGTCCCTAGTAAACACCTAAGGGGAATGCAGGACCACCTTAACAGAAACAAATTCGGGGTTCTGATGTAACCAGAGCATCCCCAGCAGATGCCCGAGATGGTGGGGCTCAGTCCTCTCGGAGAAGCAGCTAAGGTAGAGGGAGAATGAACCTTCCTCCAGCCGGCAGAGGGAGTGGGCGGAGCCTCGGCCGGACGCCGCTCTCAGGTATTAGGGGGCGGGGTGTGGGCGGAGCCTTGTCCCTAAATTGGCGCTCCCAGGGCGGAGCAGGGATTCGCATTGGTGGCTCTTGAACCCGGAAGCAGTCGGCGGCGCTCGGAAGCATCGGCGGGACGAGGGATTCCGCGGGCTCCACTGCTGTAGAATGGTCGGCGGCGGCGGGAAGCGCAGGCGTGGCGGGCAGGGGCAGCAGGTACTGCCGCAGAGGCTCTGCGGGCTCTGCGGACACTTTGGGTCATAGTCATGGCACCAAGGCGCAGCACATCGCATTTATCCAGTAATCATTGAGCGCCTGCTGTGTGCCTGTGAACGGCGGGCTGCTCCAGGACCCTGCCCAGGGCCGCTGCTTTTCAGAGCTCTGCGGGGGTTTGGACCAGAGAAGGAGCGCCCTGGCATCATCTGCCCTTCTGGGGAAGCAGATTAAGACAACCAACGGTTCATTCATTCAACCAGCCATATTGATTGGAAACCGAGTATAATAAGCCAGGCGCTGTGCGGGGCGCTTTGGATTCAAGATGAATCCTGCCGCTCCTGCCCCTCTTGGGGCCCCCATCCTAGGGAGGCGGGGCACAAGTGAATATACATGTTACTATCACTTTTTGGTTTGGCATTTTTGTAACACTAATGTGTAGGAAGTGCTGTGGAAACGTTAAAGGAGGATTTAACGAGTCCCTGGGCGCTATTAAGAAAGTCTTTTAGGACTACTCGCGTTTGAAAGGGCTCTTGAAGGCAGTGAAGAGAAGGGGTGAGAAATAAGTATAGAGGATGTTTGGGCACAGCGGAAAGGTTGGCTTAGCTGGAGCCTGAGAGATGGGAAAGTAAAGGGCACCTGGTCGTAAAGGCACTAATGAAGGAGGGGAACATAAAACATGTGCATTTTCTCATACTTTTAAAACGATTTCAGAAGTTCTGTAACCACTGCAGTAGCAATAAAGAGAGTTAAGAAAGAAGTGTCATTGTGATAAGTAAAGTTTTAGAAAAATTACTCTGGCCATAATACAGCTGAATCATGTGAGAAAGTGTTGGAGGCCTAATTAACTGTTAGAAGGCCATGGTTCTGGGAATTCATTATATTAATTGGGTCATGCTTTCTAGAAAGACAAGAGTGAAGTATAAGTGCAGCCTCTGAAGGGAACAACTGCACCGAAGTCTAGTTATTGGGGTTTTGGAGATGCTGAACGGGTGTATGATGTAAGGCAGAGCTGAAAAAAATCTCAATCACCCTTTGGTGCAGTGAACCTCTTTGACATAATGATGGTGTTGGAAAGAAAATATCAAAAATGAGGATGAGTCTATAGAGACTATAGCTAACAATAATAGCCAGCATTTGTATATTATGTTCTAGGACCGTTCTCTGTATTTTTATAAATAACTTATAACAACCCTATGATATAGGTAGCCCTTTTTGTAGATGAGAAAATAAGACACAGAGAAGTTAAATAACTTGCCCAAGGTGACAGAGCTGGAAATTGGAAATCAAAGTCAATTCATGACGCAAAACAGCCTTTCGGCAAGGTAGATTGAAGTTTTTCTTCCCACCCTCTTAAGTCTGAGCCAGTCTTTGAAAGTCTGACCAAAAATGGTTATAAAAACAGGAGAGGATAAGTCAGAACTTGTATGTTCCAGCTGTTCTATATTTGTAGCCCGTGAAGCATTATGAAGTGGTGAATCTGTGCTCAGGAGCCAGCCCACCTGGGTTTAAATAAACCCCTGTCCTTTCACTTTCTAGGGGCATTTACTCCAGTTTCCTCATCTGTAAAATGTGGATAATAGTATTTCGATCATAAAGTAGTTGTGAAGATTAAATGAATTAATCCATAGAAAGTGCTTAGAACAGTGCCCTGGCACATAGAAAGCGCATAATTACTTTTTATTACATATTGTTTTTACTATTATCTTTATTACTGTTATCGTTTGCTCTTAAGAGCATTCATTTTTGGATCTATATTTCAAAAGCCTTTTTGTTAAAATTGATTTTTTTATGACCTCAGACACATCATAATCCTTGGCATAATAAACTGTTGTCATTGGCCAATGCGTGGTCCTCTTTTACCTTATTTATTAATAATATAACAAACACCTGTGAACCTATTGCCCGAGACTAGGACTGAAATACTGACAATAACCTTACATCTATACAGTTCCTCACTTTATCTGCCTAACTTCCTATCACCCACATTCAGTATAGCTACCATCCTGAATTTTGTTTTCCCTTGCCTTCTATAGCTTGACCACCTATGAGTGTATGCCTAAACAATATTTGTTGTTATGAATTTCATAAAAAGGTTATCTGCTGCATATAATCTTCAAGGACTTTTTTCTTCATTCAACATACTGTTATGAAGACTGATCCATATTGTGTATAGCTGTATTTCATTTTGACTCAGTGTAAATTCTGTTTTGAAGGCCTGTAACTGTTCTCCTGTCAGTAGGCGTTTTCATTTATTGTCTTCTGCTCTTAGAAACAGTGCTATCAAGAATATCCTTCTGTCATCTGATTCATAAATTTTGTAGACTTTCAATACTACCCAATATAATATCAATAAACTTGAGCCTACTGGGAAAACGGAAGAATGTGAATATGAGAAACATTTGGCTTAGAATTTTTCAACCTCAGCACAATGGACATTTTGGGCCAGATAAGTGTTTGTTTAGGGGGCTTATCCTGTGCTTTGTGGGATATTTACCAGCGACCCTAGCCTCTTCCTCACTAAATGCCATTAACACCCACCCCCCAAATTTGTGACAACCAAAAAGCTCTCTAGACATTACTAAACATATTCCCCTGGGGGCAAAATCGGTCCTAGTTGAGAAGAACTGATGTAGATAGAAAGGAAGAATAAGAAGGAAGGAAGGAAGAACTTAATCCAAAAGAAAGGATCTAGGTTTCTAGAAAGAAACAGATTGCTACTTAAACTAAAGGTTAAGTAACCTCCAACTAAGCATTTATCTTTATAGAAATTTATCAAATATCTAATATACATTATAAAACCTGACATACTTATGTAATGAACCTATATTGCAGAGATGTTGGAGATAAGTTTTACAACCTAGTCCTGGCATTAAAGGGCCTTACATGAAATAATTGTAACTAGTGACTCCCCTTGTATCCAGTTATTTCTGATAGTTTGCATCTGGTGTGATTACTGAATCTTAAAAGGCATAATGACATCTTGTTTACCACAAGAAAGCAAAACCTACCTTTTCTTTATTCCTCTTTCCTGCTCTTTACCTTTTCCTTTGTTGTTGTTGTTGTTTTTTTCTGTGTTTTCATTATCTTAGAGAAATATATTTGAAGACTTGCTGTGTGGGTCCCTCTTGACCACTATATATTTATAAACTGTTCTTTTTTCTTTGCCCCCATATTTTACTCAGAAATACCATTTAAAGAAAACACATGTATCTCATAGAGTTAGGTGAATAAAAATGAGCAATATTGTTATGAAAGGGAAGTTATTGAAATGACTTTTGAAGAAACAATATTCTGTATGCCAATTTACAGTGTGAAAAAACAGTTGACGTGAAGAAGAGTAAATCCTGTGAAGCTGATGTCTCCAGGGACCTTCGAAAAGAAGTGGAAAATCATTATAAGCTTTCTCTGCCTGAAGATTTCTATCACTTCTGGAAATTCTGTGAAGAACTTGATCCTGAAAAGCCAGCTGGTGAGTTCCTTCAGAATCATTCCCGTTTCTACCAATGGAAAAGACAGTAGGAAACTGGACCAAAGAGCTAAACATTTCGTAGAAAAGGAACCTTTCAAACATGTTTCTAATAAGAGAAATATAAAATAATGCTATAATAATATGTCACTATCGCCTCTTAAATAATTTCAAGACATGCTTTGATGAGGATTTTGAAGGAAAACAAGTACTTTGATATATAGCAGTAGTTTTTAATGAGAGCAGTTCTGTTTCTAGGAACTTGTCTTATAGAATAGGTGAACCAAAGATTATGTTCAATGATATTTATTGAAACAAAAAATGGAAAATGAATGGCTTAAATGCCCATCAATATTGCATCTATGCCATGAATATTCATAATTTTAAATGAATGAGTTAGATTTTTTAGGCAATGATAAGGTATCATGCAGGAAAGATTTTAAGTGGAAAAGTGTCAGGGTATGTTACCATTAGTATTAAAAAAAAGGAGGGGGTACACACACATCCCTATATACTTTCTGTGTGTGTATACTATTTCTGAAACGATACACAAAAAACTGATTATGGTTGAGATGGAGTTTTCACTGTTACCATTTTGTATTATTTAAATATTTCAGCATGAGATTGGTGGAGAGAAGCACTCTTGTATCCTATTGATGGAGATGTATATTGGTAGAGAACTCTGAATTTTGGCTGTATATCATAATACTTAAACTGTGTAGCAACTTCTCTAAAAATATTCTTGGCTGTGTACAAGTATTAACAAAGCTGTTTACTGAAGCATTGTTTAGAAGAGTTAAACAGTAGATGTGTATCAGTACTAGAATATGTATCTATAATGGAATATTATGCAGGCATTTAAAATTATGTAAGAAAATTTAATAACGAAAAAATATTCAGAAAATCTAAAACAGCATAGTCTCCTTTTAAAATATATGTGTTTACAACTGTTCATAGGGGGAGAAATGTTATTACTGTATACCAGACTGTTTACCTTGGTATCAGTGGCTAGTGAGATAGGTGGTTTCAGTTTTTATATTACTTTAAAAATTTGTGTGTGCTATCCTAAGCTCTAGCTAAGATGAACATTTGTCCCCTTCCAAAGAAACTGGCTATTATTCACGTCGTTACGTCTTCCAAGAATTTTCTTTCTTTCTCCATCCCCACATCCTACATATCCAAATCCTGCCTGGAGTGCTTAATTCCTTCTTCCAGAAGCAATGAGGACCCATCTGATGTTGTAAAAGTGTACATTCGAACAGACTTCATGACTAGTTTTATTTTTCACTCTCTCTCTGTGATCTGTGAATGGAGAAAGGAGGAATCATCCAGTATTAGGGTTGGCCAAATAGATTGTCAAAGAGGCAAAGGAATCCCATAGTGATAATTAGCTGAGGAAGAGAGAAGGGGAAGGAAATGTTTTCATTAAATACATTTTTAATTAAGTTATTTACTTCCTTAATGCACACTCATTTGTTATCTAGTCTCTCCCTTCATCTGGGTGTGCTACAAGAATTTTATGGGCTCACAACTGCATAGTAATAAGACAGAGTAAGTGTTTGCAGCTTTAATATGACAATATAAATACAAAAGTCTTACTTTGGCCAAACTAAGAAACAGCAAGAATGTTTGAAATGTAATCAGTGGTAAGTTTAAGAGGAAATCCTGAATTTTCATTGCTCTGATTTTTTTCCCCTTGAGTATTTATAACTCACATTCACATGTAACTAAAGATTTATTTTATTTTACTGTAGAAAGTTGTTTAAGACAATTGCTTAGAAATAGTTTACTAACGAAACTATTTTTTTTTCAATTGACAATCCATTATGTCCTATCTGCCTCCAGAAATTTATTGTCTAAGCAAACTTATTTAATTTACAGATTCACTTTTCGCAAGCCTTGGACTTCGATTAGTGGGTCCTTATGATATCCTTGCTGGAAAACATAAAATGAAAAAAAACCCAGCAAGCCTGAATTTTAATCTTCACTGGAGATTCTACTATGATCCTCCTGAGTTCCAGACAATTATTATTGGAGATAATAAAACTCAATTCCACATGGGGTATTTCAGGTAAAGGAGCTTTTCTTCTCCTCCAAAATATAGTTACTATCTTTCTGATGAGTATAAATAGACATTCACTAGTCACACCCAAGGTGAAGGGCATGCTTTCCCCTTATGAGTGATGCATGAGCCTCGTGTTGTTCTGTGGTTGCCATTCTAACCTACCCAAGGATGGGTGAACCCTAGGTTTAATTAACCTCACTGGTTTTACCTTCATGGTTATAAACCTTTTTTGGTTTTTGTTTTCTTTTGGGTTCAAAAGAGTTCTTTTAGCCCAAGAAAGATAATTTAGAGTAGCTGCTGTGACTTAAATTAGCCATCTGCTTCCAGGGGGCGTGGAATCAACCTGAAATTCAGAATGTGCTTTGGAGTCTGACTGGTTCTACTAATTATTATCTGGGTGACCCCATTCCAGTCAGTAGTGACTGTGACTTTCTGTGACTGTTTCTTCTCTTGTAAAAATGAGGATAATAATTGTACATACCTAATAGGAATATTAAGGGGATAAGATGGATATATGCAAGATACTGAGAATGTTAAATAGAAGTAGGTTGAGGGGAAAACTACTTCATGCACTTGGAGCAGTAAAGCTGTTATTTAAAGTGAAGGTGAACTGCAAGATAATAGACTAGAGGGAGTAGAGGAAGCATGCCCAGGGAGAGGTTGTAGTACAGTAAAATGCACATAGTGCCGGGCATTGGGTTAGTTACATGGATTCTGCTTCTGCCTTTACCATTAAGTTACTAGGACCTTGGCTGAGTCACTTCATCTCTGTGTATTGGTTCCCTCAATTGTACAAAAAAGATTTATATATATGAATCAGATCCTTTTATCTCTAATGTTTTATATTCTGGTCAGTCCTGATTCTGTTTTTCCACTTTTTAAATTTTTTTCACAGACTATAAAACTGGGGTTGAGAAGATGGCATATAATCATCTCTACTTCTTTTGATAGGCCTATTCCCCTTTGTATTTAGGTATAAAAGGAACTAGGTCCTAAGAATCTTAATTTTAGGTTTTGTTATATAAATAGGATTTGTCGTAGATATTTCTAAGAAATTTAGAGCTTAAACCTGGCTAATTCCAATTTTAAAAAATGTGGATACAAATTGTTGTCTATAGACCTAAAATTCTACTTGCCCGATAATATAAATTATGGGCAGCTAAAATTTTAATATCTTTTACTTAAACAGGGATTCTCCTGATGAACTTCCTGTGTATGTTGGTACAAATGAAGCAAATAAAAACTGTATAATTGTTCAAAATGGAGATAATGTGTTTGCTGCAGTCAGGTAAGAAAATATTTTATTTCAATCCCTTTTCTATTTATAATATTTGTTTATAATTTTTGTGCTATAAGAGAAATTAAGGTAACCTAAAAATTTTAGATTTCTAGAAATCATTTCTGACTTTTACAGAGTCTTAGCCATACTTCTTTACTGTTCATCAAAAAAATATACCTGTTATATATGTATTTTATTTAATGAAAATATTACTTAATCTTGACCTCAGTTATCCCATGACAAAATCAAAAGATTTTTTTAGACATCTTATTTTAAACGCCATCATTAAGAATTCATTGTAAGAACCCACTGTATATAATTCAAACAAAGATTTAATACAGTAAAGCAGGTGCTGATAACATCCTTGGAAGGGCTAATGGAGCAACCCGAGCCTCCAGAAATGACAGTTGTGTGGCAGAACTGGCTCACCAATGGAGTTTATGTCTCTGCCACCATCAGGAAACTGGAAAATCAAGAACTGCCGCCACAACGCGTGGCTTCAGGACCACATTGTCTTTGATGTAACTTGTGCCAGTAAAATGGATGCCCTGCCTTCTTCCTCTCCACCCCCATGAAACTAAGGACCAGGTGCTGAGATCTCAGCTGCAGCTGCTACACAACAGTCAGATGCCTCAACGACTGTGCTCACTGGTGGACACAGCAGAAGCACAGCTTCCACTTGGTATCTCTTCTACCTTTCAAAGTTGCACCTGCAAAAGACCTGAACAGATACTTCTCCAAAGAGGAAATACAGATGACTAACAGACATATGAAAAGATGCTCAAGGTCGCTAATTATCAGAGAAATGCAAATTAAAACCACAATGAGATATCACCTCACACCTGTCAGAATGGCTATCATCAATAAATCAAAAAACAGCAAGTGTTGGCGAGGATGCGGAGAAAAGGGAACACTCATACATAGTTGGTGGGATTGCAAATTGGTACAGCCACTATGGAAAACAGTATGGAGGTTTCTCAAAAAATTAAAAATGGATATGCCTTTTGACCCAGCAATTGCACTTCTGGATATTTATCCAAAGAAAACTAAAACAGTAATTCATAAAGATCTATGCACTCCAATATTCACGGCAGCACAATTTACAATAGCCAAGATATGGAAGCAACCTAAATGCCCAACAACAGATGATTGGATAAAGAAATTATGGTTCATATATACAATGGAATATTACTGAGCCATTAAAAAGAAATGAAATCCCACCATTTGCAACGACATGGATGGACCTAGAGGTTATTATGCTGAGTGAAATAAGTCAGACAGAGAAAGGTAAATACCATATGATTTCACTTAT